TATATATATATATATATATATATATATATCTACCTATCTATCTATCTAGCTGCCTACGACTTTTAGCTCCGCTGGCCATTTCTATTATTTTATCGATACGAAAATTGGTGTGGCTTAACATAACTTACGTCCACCTCGTAGCGTTGTGCTGATTTTAAAGTGACATATCAACCTTCTTGCATGGTTCGCATATCATCGATTCCCACTGTACCTGGGGTCTGCCAATTTTTTCGAACAAGAGACTCGCTAGCAGTTGCTGCCTGCGTCAGCGTTGTGAAGAGAGAACGGGGGGGAGGGGGCTTCGGACAGGAGAGATGGTGAGAGTGCGCGCAGGCGCAATGGAGAGTAAACTCCGGGTCTGGCTCGGCCAATTTTAAGCCTATAGGTTGTGTCGCCCGCGATCGCCGACGCCGGCGTCGCTGTCACTGATCGGCTTGCCGTGCGCGGTCTCCTGGTTCCGTGTAGCACTCGCAGATCGGTGCCCCATCCTTGGACACCTTCGACTGTGTCGCGTAATCTTTCCTATGCTTTATTTCAGTCACTCCTGTGCAGCTGGTGCTCTTCCTCTTTTATCTTTCTACTATTATTTTCATCTCCTTTTCCGCTCCCCTACAAAAGTAATTTATGTGGCCTGATTAGGCAGACAAAAATTAGATCAAAATTAGATCAAGCAAAACTGGATGACTTTGACGATCATACTCGGCGACTACTTTTCTTGGCACTGAAGAGAAAGCTATGGGGCTGGAGCTCCTCCACATGTAGCAGCATTACGCGAAGTTCATTTTGATGCACGTGTCGTAACGCTGTGGAAAGTCACGGGAATTCACCATCATTGTTTCATGCAGACGCAGCCGCTTCTTAAGATTGAGTTGCACGTTAAAGAAGTGGGACACTACAGGATTGAAAAGGGTCCTGAGCCTCCCTCGCAACACTAGTACGGAACGACTCTTACAATTGGGCCTGCATAATACAGCTACGAACTCTTTGAGGCACAGCGGCATGCACAGATTAGTCGGCTCTCACTCTCAAAGGCGGGCAACGAGATATTGTTTGAAGCCGGTCTTCAGCCTTTCTTCATGCCGCCAGAAAAGTCCCAACTTTGCACACAAGCCATGAAAGCGATAACAGTTGACCCGATTCCCAGAAACATACACCCAACCCACAATGAAGGACGAAGAAAAGCGAGAGCAAGGCAATACTCGCCAAGATCATGTGCAACGATACGCAGGTCCTCTTCGTTGATGCCGCAAAATATTGGAATCGAGGTGCCTATGCAGTCTCTGTGGTGGACGCCCACGGCTCGCTCGTCAACGCAGCCACGGTAGTTACCAACTTCACCCACGAAGCAGAGGAAATGGCCATTGCGCTAGCCCTTCGAAGCTGCACTGAAGCCTCTGTCATTTACTCGGACTCTAGAACAGCTATAAGAACTTTTTCGGCGGCCCTAGTCTCTTCGAAGGCAGCTGCGGTCGTTAACAGGCTTTTCAACCACGAGACGAAGGAGGAAAACTTTCGGTCTTCACACATCGCATGGTTCCCAGCCCACATGGGAAACATTTCCGGCTTTGCTGGCAACCCAAACGAGCGGGCACACACACTGGCGCGAGAGCTCACTTTCCGCGTCAGTGGTTCGCCCCCTCGCTTAAATGCAGCCTGCAGGAACCTCGACTACAAAGACCCACTTGTATCATATCACGAACTCACCTCACATCATAGATTAGAACGTCGAACTTTTCCTCCTCCTCACAGAGATCTGAACAGAGCACAAGCAATCACTTACAGACAATTGCAGACACGTACATACATCACACCAACGACACTAAGCAGGATTAATCCGGACTTTTCCACTGCATGTCCACACTGTGGAAACGAGTATAACAATTTCGACCACATGCTCTGGTTGTGCCCTGCCAACGTGGGTACAGAATTTTCTGACCAGTCCTCCTGGGACTCCGCCCTTCGAAGCACAGAGCTCATCGCCCAGCTCAAGGCTGTCCAGAGGGCCCGGGCCGTCGCCGAGAGACTCTGTCTACCGGTCCCGACCTGGGTGGAGCCGCCGGATTGATGGCGGGGCTTTCGGCACCGCTTTCTTTCCTCTCAGGACCTTAATAAAGTTCATACTCACTCACTCACTGCTGCCTGCATCAGCGTTGCGAAGAGAGAACGGGGGGGAGGGGGCTTCGGACAGGAGAGACGGTTAGAGTACGCGCAAGCGCAATGGGGAGTAAACTCCGGGTCTGGCTCAGTCAATTTTAAGCCTACAGGTTGTGTCGCCCGCGATCGCCGACGCCGGCGTGGCTGTCACTGATTGGCCTGCCGTGCGCGGTCTCCTGGTTCCGTGTAGCACTCGCAGATCGGTGCCCCGTCCTTGGACACCTTCGACTGTGTCGCGTAATCTTTCCTATGCTTTATTTCGGTCACAGCGAGTGCTCTCCCTCTTTTATCTTTCTATTGTTTTTTTCATCTCCTTTTCCGCTCCCCTACAAGAGCAATTTATGTGGCCTGATTAGGCAGACAAAAATTAGCTCAATTTCTCTTTCCTTCAAGAACTACTCATTTTTAAATGTCATGGGGAGGAATGCAAGGGGAGAAAGAGGGGGGAGCGAGCGTAGGCTAGCAGACGCAGCCTGCGTCGGCGGTGTGAGGCGGGAGAGGGGGCAAAGTATAAAGAGGTTGAGGAGACGCCCATGCACATTTGGAGAGTAGACGCTGCAGGACTGAGGGACACAACCCCCGGCAAAGCGTGCGTTGCATCTAACATTGACAGTTGGTAGAGCGTGTAGAAAAGGTACCTAAGTATCGTAACAGCAAAACTCGATTACTCTGACGATCATACTCGGCGACTACTTTTCTTGGCACTGAAGAGAAAGCTATGGGGCTGGAGCTCCTCCACATGTAGCAGCACTACGCGAAGTTCATTTTGATGCACGTGTCGTAACGCTGTGGAAAATCACAGGAATTCACCATCAGGGTTTCATGCAGACGCAGCCGCTTCTTAAGATAGAGTTGCACGTAAAGAAGTGGGACAATGTAGTGTGTTCTAAAACACGATGTCACAACAAATAAATTAAAAGAAATATGAATACATTACTGGTGTGAGCTGGATTCACTCTCAAATAGCTCCACATAGAAAATAAAGAAGGGACATCTATATCTCATGTCTAAGATATCGGCGCTGTTGCAGAAATACATTCACTGGCAGTAGGCTGCACGTATTTTGGCTCTGTCCCCTTCACTTCAATGCCAAGAAACGTTGTTGCCGAACATAATTTGGTTGCTCCTAGGTTGTTCCTAAGCCTTATTTATGGGACAAAAGTTCTGCGTTTTTTTCAGGCAGTCGCTGGCTTCATCCAAGTTAGGCTAGATCCCATCCAGTATATAAAAAACGTCGGTCCCGTCTACACCGATTCTCAGTACCTAAAGGTTGGATGTTCAGGCCACAGAGATGTACAGAAATCACATAGATGTACAAACGGTAAAAAAAGATTGTGAGACTTCGAACAAGCGTTCGCACAACTCATAGAATATTGTTTTTTTTCATTCACAAGTGTTATACTCAGTTCAGAGTCGGCAACAGCTCTGCCTACAGCCTGCCATTGGAAATCCCTGCCAGGCTATGTTCGCCGAGCTGCTGCGGACACCCGACTAAATCTGTCTAATATATCGTTCCAGTTGTTGGAGGTCTTCGGTTTGGTGCCATCGCTTCCCAGCCTTCCTTAATGCCTTCTTTTTTTTATTGGTCAAGCGGTAAGTACCAACCTGATCACCACACAGCTAGACCTGTCTTTCCGAGTTTATGCCTATATTTCGAATTGTAGATCTGCATGCGGATATTCGAAGTCTCGGGAAAGTAATTCAATGTCCACGTTTCACAGTTCGTAGAATTCAACGTCTGCGGCGTAGTTTCGCAGTGATCTCACATTGCGCAAGCCAACATAAAGTGGTCGTGCCTAATCCCGCCCAACACGGCCACCAAGCTCGGCTTGTTTATCCACATAATCATGAATAATAGCGTGATGATTGCTTCCCAAATTGACAGAAAAAATATGAATTATGGCATAGTGGGTACCACAAAAGCGTACTTGTATTAGTGGCCTCAAGACAGCTTACAACTCGTTATTGACATGCCATTCATCAGCTTTCACTGGAAATGTGCAGCGCTTGCTATGTAGGCTTGGAATTTTCATATTTCTTTCATTGTTATTTTTATATTTATGTCTTCATAAATCTTCTGTCTGCTTCCTGTAGTCCTTACTAGTAAGCCTATATCTCGTCCTCCGTCCTCGCTTCCTTAACCGTGACGTCACTCCTCTTCACTCTCGCTCTTTTGAACCCTTGCTATGCTATTGTGTACAAGGTTGTGTTTTCACAGCCTCCTTTATCTCCTGCTTTCTCTCCTTCTCACTATAACATCAGTGATAATTCACTTGCTAAACTATACACTACAAAAATATGGTATCATTTACACTCTAATATTGAACACACATTTTCAATCGAAATAGCCGCCTAATAAACGGACCAAGTTCCAAGCATATATTAGCACCAAATACTTACTAATTTTGCCTTTGTCGTGCTTGTGTTTCACAGTGAGAACTCACAGCGCAACTAGTCATGTGTTCAAGCATTAAGAGTTAAAAAGATGCACATACAGACAAATCGCAGGCTTGCAAAAGTATCACAAGAGCTGCCACACCGCCAACCCTGCAGGTTATCGCAAACATTGTTCAAGTATTCGCAAGGACTTGCACAAAGACAATTAGAAAGAAACTGAACAACAAAAACGCTAAGAGAAATAATAGCTGAAGCAAGTCAAAAGATATTCTAAACTTTCAGGAGCTAAACAATGCTTAAAACAGAATGAATATACAAATGTGGGGATCTATCTGTATAGCACAAAAAACCACGTACATTTCCTGCTTACTAGTTTTTGCACATTTATTGCGTTTACATACCTCGTTTGCAAGTTATAAAACTTTTTCTCTTGATTCTTTGTCTTACAGCGGTAAATGGACCATCAGGCATACCATTCTGGGGTAAGAATGAAACCTATTTCATGCTATTAGAGTAAGCTTATACATTTTTCCGAATAACAATTTTTATAAGAACAATGTTTTACAGCGAACGTCACCAGAACACTTCATCTTTGCTTTTGATAGAAATGAATCTTACTCTCGTAGCAAAATAAAAAGACACAATCCGTAATTTCATTGCGGTGTTCCAGTGCCCATGTTACTTGCCATTCATCTCACATCGAAAAGCTTTGAGCGAGGAAGTATAACTTAAGCCATGCTCAGCCTGCAGTCGCATATAAGTGTCGTGTCACGCAACTATTGGAACGTCCGTTTGCGTCGCTAAAGACCACGTGTGTTCACAATTACGTTTTTTTTTGCAACAAACTAATAACTGCTCTGTTGAGATATTGCGTCGTTAGTACAATTATAACGTGTTTTGCCTTACTGGGCTTGCTACCCTGCCTTCTTGAAGCAACTTCGAACACGGGTATACAAGAGTAAAAATAGCATCTAATTTGGGTGACAATTAACTAATAAACCAGCTGAAAAAACATCCAAGTAAGTTGTTAGTATCTCTAAGAACCACGTACGGGCACACCGGTAGAAACCATACGTTGCAGCAAACACTACTAAAGCTTTTGCAGCTCGTGCATTGTGAGTAATCCTAAGCTCTAAAATTGCAACTTCCAGCTATGCGTCCTTCTCCAGCGTCTTGTCGCGGCGCATTTTCAGATGCTGGTCGCACAGTCTGAGCTATTGTCACACTTGCCCAATTGTTTCAACACTGCACAGCACAGACGCTTCCCCACTCATCATTGTTGTAAGACACAGGCACTCAAAGCAATAAACACGAGCGAAACGACTGCACAGACACGTCATTGCATGACTATCAAGATGTGCACGAGGACGCGGAATGTGAGAAATCCGGAAGACCTTCGAGCTGAATGTGAAAATGAAAGGTACTTCGCCCATTGTTCATGCGTAGTAGAGGCATTTGCAGTCGTCGTGAAAGTCGCGGGTCAGCCAAGATTCAGACCCCAACCATTCATTATATTCCTCTAAATGCAACGTCTGAACAAGCTGAATACACTGTTTTTTTACCCTTATGATCTTTACCGACAATCCGTGCTTAGCGCATGCCGCCTGAGCGCTTTTTAGACAACAGCTATGAAGGTTGACGTGAACAAAATAGCTGCCGTTACGTTGGAAGCTTTGCGCTACTGTTCTAGTACCGTTCGATATGACGCAATTTATTAAATGTCGAAGGCTGTCCAGGTCTTATCTCTTTTGCCTTGTCAGTGCAGGCGCTCACTTCTCAATGGGAACCCTTGGTCAGGTTTAGATTTAGAACTTGTTCTGGTGCGACATCACCTATGGAGCACGATTGCTTGGGCCACGTATCGTCGGAGCGCGCTCTAAAGGCTACATAGTAGATGCGTCGTCCCTCTACTATGTATTGGACTTGACAGATTTGTTCATTCGCGCTCTCTCTGTTTTGGCTCAAAGCTGTTCCGCTGCTCACTTACAGTGTTCATGGGGTACATCTTAAAGCCGGCACATGCAGTAGCGTCGCAGTGACACCTCCCCGTTGTTGGCCGACATCGCACCTTGAACGAAGACATGCCTTCTTATATTGCTACGCTACTTTGAGACAACACGACCGCAACTTTGATTGATATGTGGGGTTTAACGTCCCAAAACCACGATATGATTATGAGAGACGCCACGACGGCAACTTTAGTGACCATGATAAATACAAGAATCCGCCTTCCGCATCTTAACAAATCTATATGAAACATTTGCTGATAATTACGGTAAAGCCTCGTACAAACTATCGGCGCAGCTTTGTAGATGTTCTCTTTTTCCAAAAAACCGAGAAAATTAATTCGAGAGAGACATTTTCCGCACAAAATCCACCGTAAGTGGACGTTGTAGAGACAACGTAAATATCAAATAGTAAATATCAAATAGATTTTATTCTGTGTGCATTTTCGGTCATTTGTACAGGATGTGGAAGTACTTGGCGAGATCCGATGCAGTGACCATAGATTGGTAATAAATCAAATTCACCTGAACCTAAAAAAGCTAAGGCATAAACTTATATACAAGAAGTGAATTACTAAGCTAGCGTTGAGGGGGAAAGCACAGGAATTCAGTTTCGCGTTAGAATAGATTCGCAGCTCTAAATGAGGTAACTGAGGTTAGCGTGGACACGACGAACAACAATCTGACAAGTGTCACCAAAGAGTGAGCAATAAAAGTCGTTGGTTCATTCATAAGACAGGATATTGACAAATCATCCAGAAGAAAAAAACTCATTAAGAGAAGACAAACCATTAAAGCGTCAATTGCAACAGACAAAATGTAGCTAATAGAGTTTTCGGAGTTATTCAATAGGCATAAGGTAGCAGAAGTAAAAAGGTATAACAATAGGGTAATTCAGCATGCGGTAGAAAACAGAAGCTTGAAAGTTGCGACGGCAAGCTTGTACATTGGCAAAATCGGATGTATACATTGAAGGACGAGGAAGGCAAAGTCAAAACCAACATGAATAGGATAGTTGAGACGGTGAATTAGTTTCACACAGAACTATACAGAATCCAAAACTACCAGGTTGATATTGTAAGAATCAATAATAGCCCACAGGACTTTGATATCTTACCAGTATCGACAGGGAAAGTAATGAAAGCCCTGGAAGAAATAGAAACAGGCAAATCCACTGGTGAGAATCACGCGACAAAGAACCTGCTGAAAAATGGCAGGAAGAGTGTCTTGAAGGAAACTCCCCTCCCTATATAAGAAGTGTCTCGTAAAGGGGCATGTGGTCAAGGTGCCGATCAGCGTAGCCTACACCGAGAAGTGCCGGTCGCAGAAAGGGCCCAACAAGGCTGCCTTCGACGTACATATCATGCCCCGGTTGGTTATCAAATGATATGACCAAAAAACTCCCTGTGCACCTACCACCAAGCTCCTCTAACTTTATTTGCTTTGTGGATATTGCGGTTATTTTTATGTGACTCGCACCACATGTACAGTGCATTGATGTGCTTCAGGTATTTTCATAACCTTCAAGCTTGGCTGTGTAGTAAAGTTCCTCTCCCCTTTAGACGTTGGTCTTCGGAGCGCTCGTGCCCGGCTTCAACTCCGGCCCCACAAAAAACATATTTTGTTTATTTTGTGACCTATATTATTCGGGGATGATACATTATGGAAATATCTTACATAATAAATAAATAGGTGGCTGGACGAACGCAATCGCTTTTGTAAGTGAGCCAGCGTAAAAACCGTGACTCTTTTCAGGTAAACAATGGTATAAGAGAATGGCATGATATCTTCTGTGATTGATTGTAACATGCGTCAGAGAGCAATGCAATTCAATGTGCATAAATAAAGACAACTTATAGTTGTTTGAGGTAGCAAAAATAATATTTAATAAAAACAGCTGTGAGACCAGTAAAAAAAAGTTGCTAACATTCATAGGTAATACCATCAACTAATATCTTCAATCAAAGTAGAAATTGGCCTCATTATTAGCCGGCCACACAATAGAGGAGGACGAACTAGCAGCGTCAGCAACAGTTTGCGGCTCTCCGAGGAAGACGACGCTGAGGCTTCTGCTCTTGTGTTCTTGTGTCTGAATACAGCCTTGCCTATTCTCGTCGCAGATAAGTCTTGCTTCTTGTGGTTTCTACGTTGCGACACTCCCGCCAACCGACACTCCATGCCCGACACCACAACCCCTTCCTGCAGTGGATACCACTGTTCACCACTACAGTCGCGGACGACATGGCCTTATTCCCGAGGCCATTTCCCTAAAAATGTCCTAGCAACGCACTGTACTTGGAGAAAGGGCCGCTGAAGGTGCTTCACAGCTTACTGTTGAGCAGCCTCAGATTCACGATACTTCTCATGGTGCAGTTTATGAAGACGTCGGGGACTTGTTAGCCCCGGTATGAGCGAGTCACTAAAGCGAAGTGGTGGACTGTCCAACAAAACCTTTCATGCGCCTATTTTTTTTCGATGAACAGCGCTTGTACGTGGTACGAGAACCACGAGAAAACGCTGTCTTCATTGGATGAATTTCGGCAGCAACTTCTCAGCACCTTTTGAAACAATGATCACCCTGCTCAGCAACAGATTGAGTAACTTATCCAGAAACATAATCAGAGTGCCACCATCTTAGTGGAGGACATGAATCGCCTATTTCAACCAGCTGAATCTGAGATGCCTGAACGCAAGTAACTCACGCATTTCATGCGAGGCGTGAAAGAACAGCTACTTGCACGTCTTCTTCGCAACCTTTTGACAACCCTTGTGAAATTCATCAGAGGCTATAACTGCAAGCGAGGGTTCTCTGTGGGAGCTCATTCATGAGGTTGTTCATGAGGATATCCGCAGTCTCTTCGTGACTCCGCGAGAACCTGCAATGGCTCGAAGTTGTGAGGCAGGATATCTGGCAAATATTTTCGTTTCCCGAATTGCTACCAGACCAGTGATATATAAACCAAGCGTCGGCCAATCGTCGTCCAACGCCAGTGTCAAAACCCTCATATTCACTGCTTCGTTCTTACAACAAGCCGGTGAAGCCAATGTAATACTCCTGCTGCCGCCGCAGACAACGCCGACTGCACAATATAACTTGCATGCGAAAACATCGCCATTCAACCCTCCACCAACACCTGCAACTTGTTTGCCAAGGATGGTTCCGCAGTCGACCATTGGCTCGTAAGACGGACTGGTGGTGCACTGTCGATCACCATCCACTTTGTTTCAATTCTGGAGAGGCCGGCAATGCTTACGCATCTGCATGTATTGTGAACAAGAATATCCGACTTGTCCACTGACCCTTCGGCAAGCTCATTTTGACAACCGACACGACAGTGCGCATCTACAAGCACAGCCATTCTCCCGATATTGTTGATCTCACTCACTATAACGTGCGCTGAACTCTTCGGCGCACCGTCATAGCTACGCTGATGCTGTCCGGGTCAAGTACCCCAGCCTTTGTCAGGAAAACTAAC